AAATGTCGATTACTTCTGCGCCTCCTTCTCCCACGTCCATGCATGTCTCGCGCTGCCTCTCTCTCTCTCCCACATGCATGCGAACGTCATCCTTTTCCCAAGCCAATGCGGACGCTATCATTTTCCTTCACGCGTGCATGCCTCGCGCTATCTCTCTCACACCGCCTTGCGAACGCCGTATTACCCGCGTGCATGCTTCGCGCTATCTCTCTCTCTCTCCCACATGCATGCGAACGTCATCCTTTTCCCAAGCCAATGCGGACGCTATCATTTTCCTTCACGCGTGCATGCCTCGCGCTATCTCTCTCTTTCTCCCAAGTGCATGCTTCGCGCTATCCCTCTCTTACACCTACTCGGGCGGATCCCTCGCCTATCGGTTAGAACGCGGTCCCCTTCCCCCTCTCCGCGGACCCTTCGCCTACCTGTTAGGACGCGCGGACTTCTCGCTTATCGGTTAGGACGCGGTCCCTCTCCCCGCGGACCCCTCGCCCACCAGTTAGGACGCGCAGACTTCTCGCCTATCGGTTAGCACTATAATAGTTTTCAAACGGGAAGCGATTAAATTTTACGATTGACAGGGCTGAAATTTCGTGCGTTCAGGCATGGCGAAATAACAAGTGAAAATAGTGCTCTAAGAATGGGGCGCCCTTTTTATGATATTATGATTATCGTATAAATTTACAATAGCATTGTCATTATGTTTTCCCGCTTTTCTGTTTTCACGCATTGCATTAGTATATTCTTTTTACGAATAATGGATGCAAGAACTAAAGGCATCTCAAAAATGATTCAAGTAAAAATTTGTGACATGTTTCAACTTCAGCTGTCAAAGTGGTCGATCAATGTTACCATGAAGGTGTGTACTATTTCGCCGTACCTGAGCGCGCAAAACATAGATATATATAGATTGCTGATGTCCTATCCCCCACCACAATATTCTCGTCCCCAATTAAATGCCGCCATGTTAAAGGGAAAGTTGTCACGCATGCGCGTTAATCGTATTGGAGCATATATATATATTAACTAAAGTGCTAAAATAGAATACTATTTTCCATCACAATATTTTCGTCTCCAATTAAACGCAGGAATTTTTTAATGACATAAATTACTGTTCACGATAATTGGATTGCCTTTTTATTTTATTTCATAATGTGTTATATATATAGCAAAAAATACTTTTTTATCAAATTTGTAGATGAAGTACATATTTTTAAATTTATTAACAGATATTAAAATTCAACATATTAAAAAATTTGTTATATTTATTTGTAATAAACTCATTATGTTTATTTTCGTACTGATTATTACTTTTACAAGATTGATGTAAAAAATAGATTATTTTATATTCACTATTATGTTATATTCACAATTTATCTTATGTACAAATCAAAATAGAAAAATTAAAAATAGAAATGTATCAATCATAGAAAAATAATAGTAAAGAAGACTATAAAATTGTAAATATAAAATATAATAAAATTTGATATCTACTTTTATTCTATAATATTGATGTCATTCTCATTGGAAGACAAGGTTGGTGTCCAATTTTTTATAGGAAAATTATTTAGCCACTGTTTCAAAAGATGTTGATCGTTTAGAGGAAACCTACAATATGTTTAAGAATATTTGACATTTTGAATTAACTATTCAATTTGATTATTTTTACTTCAGATAAGGCAAAGATAACCTTTATATTGTAAATACAATATAAATAAAGCAATGCAATACACTTACTTGTGAAATGTTAATCCAGATTCATGAGTTTTTGTATTATTACAAAAGTAACAGCGTCCCATTTTAATTCGTGGAATTTAAAAGCAGAATTTTGTATATATTATAACAATTATAATTTTTTTCTGCATTCCTCTCCTAAATACTCTGACCTACACAACTCTATAGGATCCAACCATAGATATATATGCGATCACGCACCGAGCGGGTGACCGCGACGCTGTTTGTTCTCGCTCGTGTTTTGTTTTTCGAGGTAATCGTTTGAATATAACGGCGATGTTCGCCGTTGAACTTTAGGCACAAATTTTAATGTTTCGATTTTGAACACTGCAAAAGTATGTTTTTAATGATTTTAATAATTCTACTTGTTTTTCTGAGGCTACAAATGCGTTTCTGCTTGGATTTTTTCCTTTAACACATGATGAATTGAAAATATCAAAAGTAGCATCTAATTTATCAACATATTCTGATGTATCTTTAGCAGATGCCGGCAAATGTCCAAGTGAAATCATTGTATTAATAGCAGAAGCTACAGAAAAACTTAAGACTTGAGCAGCATATTTCACTTTCATCCGCTGAAAATTATTGGGATGAATGTATGTCCTGAGCCAGTTTAGGTACTAATTTGTTTATGTTTTCTTTATATGTATTTCAAATAATTTTTCTATATATTGCCACGACATAATTTTATCTCCTGATTCGATAATATTAGTTAATAAATTATTTCTAGCTACTTTAATAAGATGTGGTGGATCAAAGAAGTAAAATATTTTTTGCTTATTTATGATATAGTAAGGAGTTTCTTCGGTCACACCCAACTTTTTAGCTGCCTTTTGGTAATCTGTTCCCATATTTGTGACTTCCGCAATAACTTTCAAATTTATTTTTTGAAGTTTTGTAACACATTCAATAGTAATAATACGTAACTCATCAGCATCTATAGCCGAATTAAGAAAAAAATAACCAAGTGCTTGCTTAAATTTGTTTGTCAAACCTCTAACCATGATTATCGCTGCATTACATGCAGTTAAGAAACTTTTACTATAACTTGTATCATGAAATCCAATTACCATGTCTCTATTAATCATATAAAATAAACTTGTTTTTAATGACATTGTATTAATGCTAATGCAACAATATTTATCTAATAAATGCAAATTTTTAGTTTTAATTCTAAGTCTTTCAAATACGATATCCTGTAAATCTGGAGAAATTATAAGTCCTTGTATTGTGCATTCAAGTGTTCTTTTTGACAGTAAAATAAAAGTATTGCTTAATAATCTATACGCTTTGGGCCCTTTAAAATATAAATTTAAACAAAATATTTTAAATTCTTTTGTATATCTATTACCATTTCTTTTGGTATTTAGATTATCCGCTTGAGCTTTCATAAAATCAGCTATCGGTTTTGGATAAAATTTGTAGAGAAGTTTCTGAAAATCGCTGAAAGTAATGTCTTCTATATTCTTTTTTTCCTTATTATATTTCAGTTTTGCGCACGGAAAAAAAAATTAGCTGCCGTAGCTAAAAACTGCGCGTGGTAACTAGATTTCAGTCGTAATATATGGACAGCGAACATCTTAGCTGTGACACCCAACAATATCATAATAACATTGCAACAATATTTTGCAATGTTTCTGCAATGTTGTAATCTTGCAGAAAAATGTTGCTGCAATGTTGTTACAATCTTGCGGTGCTGTATGGGGTAGTACCTTCTTCATTAGTAATATTAAAAACTGTACTCGGAACTGCATGTGGCTGAAGTCGATTTCTTAAATCATTTAGAAACATATGAGAAGCAAAATGTTTTGAGCAAACTCTATAATTATTGTATAATTCTTTTGGTGAAATATTCTTCTTTATACCACCCCATACAGCACCGCAAGATTGTAACAACATTGCAGCAACATTTTTCTGCAAGATTGCAACATTGCAAAATATTGCAGCAATGTTGTTATGATATTGCAGCAACAATAAAATGTCCGTCTACAGAAATATTGCAATATAATATTGCAGCAACATAGCAATATAATATATATGCAATAATACTTTATGTATGTTTATCGACAATAAAATCCTTACATATGAAAAAAATAATAAGAGATTAGGCGTATAAGAGTCAGGATCTAGTGTGTAAATAGATTTTCTGTATTATAATAACAAAATTATAAAATGTAAATTTTTTGGTGCACATTCGACTTCCTTCAGTGACAGAGAATATCTAATGACTTTCTATTTTTATTCATGTTTAAAAAACATTATAATAAAAAATATTGTAAGAAATTATAATATAGCAAAGTTTATTGTGATATATTTTTCAGATATCTTACAACAGGGAATTTAACATCAAATATCGCATTTTCTTTTCGAGTTGGACAGTCAACTGTCAGACAATTTATTAAAGAGGTGTGCCCAATCATCATAAATAAATTAAGGCCTATATATTTAACATGTCCTACTGAAGAACAATGGAAGAATATCGTTGATGGATACTGGAACCGAAAGAATATGCCCAACTGCTTTGGAGCTATTGACGAGAAACACATACTTCTGCAATGTCCTCCTAATTCTGGGAGTTTATATTTTAACTATAAGAAACAATTCAGCATTGTTCTTATGGCCATATCAGATCACTTATACAGATTTACTTTAGTCGATATAGGAGCCTATGGAGAAAATAGTGACGGAGGCATTTTTGCATCTTCACACATTGGAAAAAAATTAAATAATAAGAGACGTAATTTGCCCACGTCACTCGCTTATCTTCCCGGAAGTAGTATTTCTATGTCTGGATTTTTCATTGTAGATGCTGCGTTTCCATTATGTATTCAAATAATAAAACCATATTCTGGAAAAAATTTAACAGAAAAATAAAAAATTTATAATTATAGGCTTTCAAGAGCTAGAAGAACCGTTGAGAATGCGTTTGGCATTTTCGCAAACCGTTGGAGAGTGTTCCATACAGCTATAAGTATGCTTCCAGAAACAGCGGATTTTATAATAACTACGTCAGTTTGTTTGCATAATTATGTGATGTATGAAGAACAAAAAGACGGTTTAAAAAAATACAGTGAAGAAGTGGAATTAGAAACTAATACCTGGTTATACTCCGTCCAAAGAAAGAATGACCTCGGTTCGGACGAAAACTCGTCCGTTTCGCGCAGGTCTCCACTCACAGAAGCCGTATCTACGTATACGGTATTGAGTATTTCGCCATGTTCTCCCCACTTTGCCCACTTATGCGTGGACCGAGATCATTCTCTCTTTGGACGAAGTATAGACATATAAAATATACCAAATACAAATACTAGATTAGCAATAACTCAAAGAGATATTCTAAGTGAATATTTTGTCTCGAGTGGACAAGTTGATTTTCAATATGAATATATTTATAAAGGACAATACTCAGATTGTTCATGAGAACGAATAAGATAATGTTTTGTTACTACGATAATATTATGTATTATAATAAATATTCCATAAATATTATATAATAACTGTTGAGTATAATAAAATTTTTTATTTATCAAATGAAAATACAGTTTCAAAAAGTCATCGAGTGACTATATAATAGATTTTAAAAAATAAAAAAAAATAAATAAAATAATTACGTAGTTTTCAGCTTACATAAGAAATAAAAATTATTTATATTTAACTTAAATTTTATTACTTATATTTAACATAACTTTTTATTTTTATTCAGAAGTATTATTATCATAAGTACTTTTATCGCAAGCATTTTTATCACAAGTATTCTTTGGCAATTAATACGTGATTTTAAATAGAAACTAAAAATTAATAAAATTTTTAATTATATTCAAACAAACAAATAAAATTAATAAAAACTTAAACTTTACATTTTCTCCATTGGTGTATTTAAAACTTCCATCAATTTTTGCTTTTTAATAGTTCTTTCAGACTCACTCATTCTTTCTAATTCTAATGCAATATATTCTGCAAATATAGTTTCAGCAGTTTTTAAATTTGATGAGTTTTGTGAAGAATCTGATAAAATATTGGTTAGATTATTTATAACGCCTAAAATATTTTCTTCATCTGTTTTCCGTTTTAAAAATTTATTTTCTTTTACGTTATCTTCTGTTTTATTCTTTAATATTTCATGCTTTTTTGGTAAAATCTCATTGTCAAAAGTTGCGTTGTCAGTATTTTCGGTAATTATTTACTATAACGGACCCAGCTCCAATGACGTTGACCTTGACATATGTTGTCAAGGACATAATCTTGAGTAACTTTTCCTTATAACTTAATCGGCCATTGCTTATTAAAAAGTTATTAACAATTAAAGTTTGAGAATTAAAACGTAATTTTTACATGAGTTTGTAATTTTCACGCAAGAAGCGAGATCCATCCGCATCAGGACGTTGTATAACTCAAATCAAATTTTCAGAAATAGGTTTGAGTTAGGTTATATCTTCCGGAAGTGGAGCCCCCCGTAGGAGGGGGGGCGGAACCCAGTGCGTTCACGCATATACTTTCCCATTCACACAACAATCGTGAGGTGAACCTCGCTTCGCGTTGTAAAGCATATACATGGACGCAATGGGTTCCGCCTCCCCCCTTCGTGGGGCACCACTTCCGAAAGATATAGCTTAACCCAAACCAAATTTTAGTTTTAAATCAGGAATAGGTTTGAGTTAGGTTATATCTTTCGGAAGTGGAGCCCCCCCCCCATAAGGGGGGGGCGGAACCCACTGTGTCCACGCATATATTTTACAACGCGAAGCGAAGTCCATCCCACGATTGTTGTGTGGATGGGAAAGTGTATGCGTGAACGCAGTGGGTTCCGCCCCCTCT